AAATTAAGAGACAAAAGGCAAATTGAATGCCTGAAACCTTAAAACAAAAAGCAACAAAATGTATAGAAACTTTGTACATACTTAAATTTAAATGTAAATAAAAAAAAAAAAAAAAAAAAAAAAAAAATATAGAGGTTGGTTTGCTGACTTATGAGTTAATATGTTCATGATTAATAAATGGTAGTGTCAAATAGACTGATTTGTGATTGATGGAATTTTGATTGCAGTAAATTGATTGAGTAATTTGCCGAAAGTTTTAAAAAAGCTTATGAAACTGGAATTTGGGATTGTCTTTGGGTTAAATCACTTTTACTTTACGGAGGCTACCTAGTGATTAAGTAAGTATTTGAAAATTAGTTTGTAATTATTAAGATATTGGTTTCTAGTAGGAATCAAACTTTCCCTGTCACAAACAAAATAGGATTTAAAATTTTAGGATTAAATTGGTTAATCAGCCACAGCAGCTTTTGTTTTTAACTGACAGATTACCCTTATAAGTCCTGATCCAGATTCCATTATATTCGAATTTCACAAAGTCTTCTCAAGAAGAACCATTAGAACCAACCTTAGACACCCTTACAATCTCAAAATTGCTCAAAACCATTCCAAATCAAAAGTCCCCCAATTACAACTCAACCAAACAATAATAAATAAATTACAAATTAAAATTCAACCATGCCCACCAATTTAAAATCCATTCAGCTGCTAAATTGCAACCTTTTACTGCTCAACAGAAGCCCTACAGCCCATCCATCCATTTATAAATTGCTTCGGTGAAATTTTTAATTTGAATTAAATTGCTACCTTCGTTCAAATTGAATATAAAGCATTTGCTTAATATGATGAAGAAAAAAAGAAGCTTATTAAGCATCGCTTGCAAATGTTTGTCGGAAATCGTACATAACAAAGGAAAATATTCAATTATGGCACTGTTTGGGTTCTTTTGAAGGTGAAAAATATTTTATCAATAATAATTGAATTTTTGTGCAGGTTGTGGATGTATAACAAAGGATTATTGATTCTAGAATGGAACTTAAATCAAGAAAACAGATCTTTAGCTTTTTAGACAATTAATTGAGTTTGTAATCAATGGATGCATGACTTATTGAATTCTGAAATTAGAATTGATCATTTTTAATGAAATTAATCGGTTCCTTAAGCATTGAACTGTTGTAGCTTGAGGCATTTAGAACTAATCATATTTAACCAGCGACTGAGTCATAAAAACTGCAAATCTTTGATATTTCAAACAAAAGAGCTCCATCAAATCTGCATTAAAATTGATCAGAACAAATTCAATCAGAACAAAACCCAAAGTCCACCAAACACAGCTTCCAAATCTAAAACTCAACTCTCCTGAAGGGCAAATGATACAAAAGTTAAATTAAATTAATTTTGACAACAAAAATTTTGGACAACGCCAAATGTTATTAGCGCAGGAACATGTTTCGTGTGTTTAATATTTTACCAGCATGTAGTTTAAATCAAATTAATTTATCTCACAATTGTCAATTTTTTGTCTATAACTAACATTATGAAATTAGTGCAAAAAACAAATGTTTTTTTGTTTTAAATTTATTTTCTCATTAATAACCTTACGGATAGGTCAGAGATATTATTGGAATTAAATTTGTGTTTTTTTGGCAACAACTTTCACAAAAAAGTTTTTAAGATGACCGTGGTTGAAAGACGTAAGCAGATCAGCGGCAGGTGTGAGGCTAATGGTAATTTATTTTGGAAATTAATTAAAAGCTAAGAGAAAGGATCTGGGGCCATCAGAAATGGGATAAGAAGACTTTAGATAATTGTGAGAGACAAAACATGCTTAAAATATCTTTTTGATATAAATTCAAGCATCAGGCTGTTTAAATCACAGCTTTAGACACAAAAAACAATTAAGTCTCGAACTTGAGATTTCTGGGTCACTTTTATGTCATTCAGTATCAAATTTACTCGTCCTATTCACGAAGTCATAACAGCTCACAAAACAGCAATAGCTTAAGTTCCTTCCTCTTCTTTTACTCCACAAACATTTTCTCATCACAGAATCAGAATTAGTCTTAAATAATGTGATCAAATTTGGCACCATACTTAACCACCATTAACTTTTAATCTATTTTACAGCCATTGTGTTTCTGTCTCAATCTCAAGGAAGATTCACGAATGTTGAAGGAAATCAGATTAATATTTTATAGTGATTCGCAAATTTAATATCAATATGGATTTCTATAATTGATCATTGCCTTGATTGTTAATCTCATGCGATACACTAATTCATCTTCCTTTTTTAATGACTTAATTATGGTATTTTGACGGATGAGATCAAATGGATTTTAAGCTAATTATTGAGATTTTGGCAAAGAAAAATTGATACTTTTTAGCTTATTAATGTTGGATCATAAAAATTGCGATCAGGCGAGATTCCATTCACAAATTTTCAGCATGAGAAATTGCCTCAAATTGGGCGCAAAAATGCGAAAATTACCAATTGTAATTCAAAGCACAACAGTTAATTATTTCTTAACAGGCTTTATCATTTTATTCGCAACATGAAAAGCTTAATCTTCATTTAATATCCGCGACATTAAAATTGGTAAGTAGATTGTTTACTTAACAGTTTTTCATGGGAAAATTGAGTTAGTTGAAGCATTTGATGTTGAGATTATCATGGTTTTTAGTAAGATTATTTCTGGTTGTTAACAAAACACTGCTGGATGTGATTTGGATTCATTTAATTAGTCTCGAACGTGGATTGGATGGTTTATAAATATTTTGATAGATTTTTGTCATATTGATGAGTTGATTTGCGAATATTTTGTGAGTTTCATCTGTAGATTGATTAACAGACATATTCTAAAAGAGAAAGTACATAAATTTGCAGCACTTGGTGGTCTACAGAACTTCATTTCACAAAAGCAAAGTTATGAAATTTATTTTAAACCTATACAAAGTAATTAAACCATTAATAAGTTCAAGCTGAGTTTTAATGAGCAATTTTAAAGTTATACCTGCTGATAATGACTTTAAACGCAGTTCAAGAGATTAAATTTTTCTTTATGGATGCAATTTTTATTTTAATTACGTGTAAGCTTCGTTAATGAAGTTCCTTTTCAGGGCAACTTACGAGATTATTAATATTTATAGAATGTTAAGTAATTTGCTTTAAAGATGCTTCTTTCTTTAAGATGCCATTAACATAAATTTATTGTAGAATCATCCAAATTATCTCAAATGACATAAACTTCAACTCAACATACAAAGATATGAGAAATTTTCAATAACTGCCATTTCCAAGCAATGAGAAAAATCCACAAATGTCAAAAGAAAGTGATAAGTACCTCTGATCACCTTAACAATCACTTCAATAAAATAAAACCGATCCAAATTAATAGCTCGAAAAACTTTTATCACGATACTTAAGTGCCCAATTAAAGAAAGATTTCCAATATCATCAATAAATTGGTCATTTTTATTCCCAATATGTAAACTCGTATCTCTGTTGACTTCCATGAAACAGCAAAAAAAGCTTTTTTAAGACACAAAGCGAAAGCAAATTGTGATCCTCAAGATTCATTTGCTGCTTCTTCTTCCTCTTCCTCATTATCATCATCAATAATCGAAAAAGATACAAAAATATTGGCACAAAAACTTTCTTTAATTCAATTGAATCGCATCACCTGTTGCACCCGTAGCAGTTATGATACTACATGTTCGTTATTATTATTATTATTATATTAAGCATTATCGATTATAAAAGTTATAATAAATCATTTGATAAATTGATTACGATAATTAAATCGTTTATCGATGAATTGATAATTACGTTGCAATTAAAAATATAATTTTAATTTTTTTGGGATGCAAAAATTGATGACAATATGTGGTAATTCATTAATCATGTAAGCAATTTATTTACCCACTCCAGAAATGATGCACTTTTATTATTATTTCATTATTGAGATACTTTTCCATTGTTTTCATTATAATGAAGCATAATGAGGCGGATGAATTAATGCCTTGCAATGGATAAAATATTTTTGTGCTTTTCGGACGATGGTCTTTTATGAAAGCTATTGGCAGATATTTTATTTTATTGGAATCTTTTTGTTTTTGGGAATTTCTGTTTTTGAAGAATTTGTTGTGAGATTTTTAAAGATTTCTTTTAATGATCATTGAAGAATGAGACAGTAAGACAGTAAGGCATTTAAATCTAAAAAGACCTAAGTTCATCTTGCACTAACCATTAGCTTTAATAGTAAATCTTCCTTAAAGTCTTCAAATTTAGCCGCAAAAATTGAAGAATTTGAAGGATCACATTTCAATTTAATGCTCAAACATTCTTGCGGACATAAAACAATTCCTCGTCGTGAACTAGTTGTCAACAAACCAAAAACCATAAAGAACATTAGACACAGAACGAAAAGACAAAGAAAAACCAGAAATGAGTTATTAATTAATGCTTGAGTAATGAAATAATTTCTGGTTGTGTCGGTCAATTTAATTCAACAATTTATCAGCACATGACTACCAATGTAAATAATTGAAATTATTTCCATTAATTCAGGATTTCCGAGTAAAATATCACTTGGAATCTGTAACATTTATGTGAAGTTGTTATGGAAAACTTGATTGACTGCAAAATCTGGAGTAGGCGAATCTGCCATTACGAGTGTTAACACTCTTTAGTCGAGTGGTTATGTAAAAGACTGGAAATCTATAAAACAGTATTTTGTGAAGGTTTGGGTTTGATTCTTAACAGAATCGAATTATCAAATCAATACCTAGAATGTTGTTGATATGACAAGGATTAACGTAATATTCATAAGATTTACAAATCCATTAAAAATCATCCGCAAGATCAGCAACTTAATTCCCACTTAAGCAGCTATTAAAGCAAATAATTACCAAACTAATCATTGAACTTAGTGGAATTAAACAAAAATTTTCGCAAATCATCAATTAAACAATTTAAATAAAAAAATTAAGCAAAGCATCTTTACCTAAAACAAGGTACAATAATACACCTGCAACCTTCATCATTGAAACTTAATCAAGATCACTGCAGTTATTATATAACAATTGGAAATCTTATTGCTTTCTTCAATTCGAATGTCGTAGAACTAGTTTTGCACTTTATTCACTTTTATTTTTTGGATCTAAGTTTATTAAAATTTATTCACTTTTGAAACCTTTCCAAAAAATTTCACTTCCTTCTTAAACTGCCAAAAAAAATATTTTCTTTTATTTTATTAGCACTAATTTTATTAGCGAAAGCTTCGTTCGCTGAAATTTTTTACATCATTAATAAATTGTCGAAAAATAAAGTTTCCTGACCAGACAATGAACAAATAAAAAATAAAAAAAATTCTTCCGATTAATTTAAGCACTTTTACTTTCAAGACACTGTTACTCTTGGCGGCAGCTGCAAAAAGACTGTCTTTGAAATTGAAAGCAACAGTAACGGCATGGTGTGGAAAAGAAAAACAAAAAAAAATATTAAAGACCGCTATAAGGTTGTATACATGTTGATGTTTACAGCGGATACAAAGAGGTGTGTAAGAGACCAAATGAGAGTGCAACCGCATGGTAGTGTGGGTATTTTTTTTCTCTCATCATAATGTATTCACATTGGATGCGAAATCTTATTTTCATCGGATTGTTTTGGTTTTTCGTGAGATAAATTTTGTTGATGTTGCTGGGTGAGTGCTGTGCTTTACATTTTGGGTGAGGCTGTGTTTTTGTAATTAAGCATTCTTGATAAAAAATCTTTGCTTGTTTTCGATTTTTGATTGGATCTGTCGAATGAGAGTTTGGATTCATGTGGCATTCCTATTCAGACTGTCTGTAATCGTAAGTTCGATTCTAGTTCAATTCAACTAAGTTTTAAGAGTAGTTTAAATTAAATTTTGAGTAATTACAGTCATTTCCTAGAAGACTTGATCACCATCAACACTTGACAGCTTCTCTAAGTTTGTATAACCTTGATTAATCCTATGGCATGTCTGAATTGGTGGTCTTTGGAATCAAACCTTAGTGAAAATTACAAAAAGTTATAAATTATGATTGATATTTACATTCAGCTCTAAAAGAACTTCTGAAAGTTCCAAACTTTAGCAGCATTGACATTAAATCAATAATACATCTTTAAAGTTTATTGAATTATCAACAGCGCTCCATCCAGCCATCAATCTAAGCCATTTCCAACTACAAACAATATTATATTCCCAGCCACACATGGATTGCAGTGCACAACAGTGCAAAAACATTAAAATCTGTATGAAATTTCTTCACTAAATGCCTGAAAGAGATGGAATACTGTAAAGGTAATTTAACTTCTGTAAAAATTTATTCCATGAAATAATTTTTTTTTGTAAAAATATTTTAAAAGCTTTTTTCCTCATAACTCTTTCCACATCTTCATGCCACATCTTGAGAGTGAGAAAGAAGAATTTATAAATTAAACATCATAAAAAAGAGAGGAGAAAAAAAAAACACAAAAAATTAATTCAATTCAAATGAGGAAATAATAATGTTATTCATCTGATGCTTCATTAAGTAGACTACATTGAATTATTAATTGAATTGCATTTTTCATGTTTAATTCATGTACATAAATGCGGCACGAAGAAAATGGGAGGAAGGTTCAGATGTCAATGGACTGTAAAAATAGTAATGATGATGACAAATAAAGAGTTTTGATTAATTCTGTAGGCTATTTAAGGAAGATGGTGGGGTGAATTTTCGAGTAGATATGAATTTTGTTAAAGATCAACATCCAAAAGATTCACTGAAAAATCCCAAAAGCTTCCCTTAACAAATCCAAATTCCAATACCAACACAAAGGATCCCCTTCCACACAACCCCCCTTACTCATAATCAAATCACCATAATTTCGTCCATTTCATATGCCAATTTTTTTTGCGCATTTAATTTGATTTTAAAAAAATTGAGAGGGTTGGCATAAAGAGCATTCATTCAATCATTTGTCACACTAATTATCAGTTCTACCTACCGCTTTTTAAATTATATGTTGTCGGTGTCAATATTGTTAATGATCCAAATTAACTTCGCATCATTAACATATATGGCATTAACATTATACTGGGAGAAGAGGCTGGAAATAAAGTTGTAAAAAAAATATTCAAATTGATGCGGATTGGAGTGGAGCTGGCGCAGTTCTTTTGGGGTTTTATCAGGGGTTTTATATTTAAATTCTTGATGGATTTGAAGGTTTTATTGCAGATTCTAAATTTTTTGTGGAGGGATCTGATTTTTTTCCTCCGCTAATTTTAATCTAGAGAAGAGTTTGCATCCAACAAAGCATCTCCTGTGCCACATTTCTATATTAAAGCATCCTTACTACATTGATTTATCCAATCAGATTCTTTATTTCTTGAGAGTTTGACAACTTAAATTTCACATCAGCTATAGATCCAGTATGTTACAGAATTATTTTCATCATATCAAGCTCACTAAGTAAGATTATTGTGACTTTGCACAACTCCATGCCTTTAAACGCGACTTAAAAACATCAAACTCACCCCAAAATGCAGCTTATCTCATCCAACACCCAAAAATCCAGATAAAAATAAACAAACGCATCCAAATAAGGACTGTACATCTGTATAATGCAGTAATAAAATTTAAAAATGCAGCAAATTTGATTGTCTCTCTTTTTTTGTTCATTTTATTTCATTTTTTTGGAGATTATTTTTAATTTTTTTTTATACAAAAATATACAAATTCGATAGAGGGAAAATAGGAGCTACAAAATATATTAAAATTATTATTCGATAGATTTTTCTTCTGTCACAACTTCCTTTTTAATAAAAATACATTAAAATGAATAATTTATGATGTCTTTAAGTAAAAGGAATAATAATTTTCATTTAATGCTCTTAATGGTAGTTTCTTAGAAACTAAAGTGCCATAAATAAGTTTAATGCATACATTAATGATGTACAAGTATTATGGGTATAAAAAATTTACAAAAAAGTGCAAGGGCCTATCATGTAAGTAAAGAGAAAGACGTAATGACAGGTAAATTTGCATTTTTGAATCAGAAATTGCAGGGAAATTTATGCTGAGGCTGGTGGAGATGTGAATTGAGGTTTGGTTAATGAGGATGACTGAGTTAGACAGATTACGAGTTGATTTAGTCACTGGGAAGCTTTTGTTGATGAATTCTCTTCATTAAATTAGCTTAGCTGCTTATAGTTCGGTTTAAAATCCTCTAACAAACATCCAACTCCATGTTTCAGTCACAATCTTACAATCTTTAAGTTCTGGATCATTTTGAAAGTTGTTTCGTCTATGAAATGCAAATGCAAATCCCCTGAGCAGGTTCATCCTCCAATCAACTCGATCTTTACATTTAAAAGCGATTCTCATTGCTAAATCTCAGCTAATTGACTACATTCACATTCCATCCAACTTCAACTCCTAAAATGACAAACAAGAACCAATTTTGTTCCTCTCACTCAGCCTTATTAGTGCATTTATATTATACAGCTAATGATTATTTCCAGCAACATTTAAAATTTAACATTAAAACAAATTACACATGTTTAGTAATCATTCGATCATAATCTGCAATGTGCTATAACAATTCTTTTTTAATTTCATTATTTTATGCTGCTGCTCAGACAACTGTTGCAGTTTAAATGCATATAATCATAAACATAAACATTATATTTCAAAGAATCTTGTCGAGCAGAACGTCGTTGCATAAATTTTAAGCTCATTGATCCAAACGAAATGATAGAATGAAGGGCATAAATTTCTTGAGAATATGTTGGGGATACTCAATCTTGAGATGTCTTGGAAGGTATATTTATGGGTGCTGTGCTTTTAGTGATTGAGGGAAAGGGATAATTTAATGAGTGAAGATTGAATTGGAATGAGATGATAAGAAGTTATAAAATTATTGTCTCTTTTCCGTATAATTACGATAGATTTGAGATTCATAATCAATTTGTGAAAAATAAAAGAAAACCCGTTATTTTTGATATTTAAAATTTCTTACACATTTTCGTTGATTTGTTTACAAATAATTTTTAAAGTTAAAATCAAAAATTTACAATTTTAAGCTTATAAAGACTGATTCAGGCTGCAAACATCATGTTAAATGCTTTGCTCACGTTTTTTAATTACTTCTTTATCATTTAATTAACAAATAAACTTGGAATTAAGGCAAAAGTGAAGGACAAAATGTTGAAGTGTTAATGTAAACACACCATTTTCGAAGTTTGTAGTTTTCGATATCGAAAAAATGTAAACAAAACATTTTGAAATTAAAAATGGAATTTTAAATGTTTTTGAATACTTGACTTGCCTATTAAGTCATTTAATTACTATTTATTGGCAATTAACTATCAATGAATCTTTCCCATCATCACGTCTTACTTTACCACTTATTTTTGTGCAAATTCATCCTCACTCGACCTTCCCATATATTTTTGAATTTATTATTTCTAGGAATTATGCAATTTTGTAATTAAGAAAATCTTCAATTTATGCATATTGCCTCTAAAATGTTCAATTCACATTCCTTATTAGATGACTGGAAATGCAAATTTAATGTCAATAGCTTCAATTCTCTTACCAATCTGATCCACCCTTGCTTTCAATTAAAAATCATTATTTACAAAAAAAAAGTTTAATAAAAATGGCAAATTTTAAAATGCAATAATTTTTTTATATAAAAATTTACAAAAAAAGGTTAAGAAATTTAAAAAATTACAATTAAAATAAATCGAGCAAAAACTAATTGAACTGTTGTTGTTTTGCAGAGAATAAATTACATTTTGATTTATATAATAATGCACTTTATACATAAACATGCAGTACACATATCAATGTACATGTACTTAAGGTCTCTCTCAATTATTATTTTTATTTTTCTACTTAATATCTTACTCAATACTGTGTGTCGATGTTGCAAAAATTATTGTTATAAAAATACAAATTTTTTAATTATTATTTAAGGAAAAGTTTATTTTTTAACATTTATTATAATGAATGGTCATCACAAAATATATAGTGTCGTTATTATTGTTTATGCACGTACATATGAGGTCATGAATTTAATTTCTCTTTATTATTGCATTGTTTTGTTTTTTGTTTGTTCGTTTTTAAGGATTGGAAGTGAAATAATGAAAGTTTGTAGGTTTTTAGGTTAAAATTTCTTTAAGATTGACAACTTAACTGTTTTCTAGAGGGTTTCTAGTGGTCTGAAGTCAGATCATACTTCTAGAAGTACAACTCCTCCTTACCATTCTCCTCAACAAAGTTCTAGATATGCTCCTACAAATTAATGCTTAGATTCTTCATCAACTTTCAAACTTTTACGATCAGTATGCTCCAAATAGCATCTTAAGCCAGTTTTACCTTGTTAGAGAAGCCCACAAAGTATCAAACCTCATTAATAATCCACGCTCAGGATTAATTAATACATCAATAAAAACATTTGTTACTTAATAGCACATTAAACACTCAAAAGTAATGTCTTCCGATGAAACGAACCAATTTATGATCATAAAACATCGATCATTTCTTTAACGACGATTAAGGCATCGTGTGACCTTGCTTGTCATACAGCAATTACAATATTAACATTACAAATGATGATCTTTTGACTGTAGTGTAGTAGATTTAATAACTTATTGTCGTCGTTATGTTATTTTGCTCTACATTGGTGGATTTTTAAGTGAACATGATCTGCATGATTTGGCTTGTTATGGGATTGTTAATATAAAGTTCATGTTAGAGCTGATTTTAATTGGGAATTGAAGATTTATTTGGGAAGTTTTGCTTTTTTGAAAGATCACGCATGAGAGTTTAAACATTTGAATGGAATTAAGCAATTTAAAAGGAATCAATTAATTGAATAGGAAGACAATTGTGGATGAGAAGTCAATTTATTGCGAAAATTAGATTTAAAATGGAAGATGCATAGATGGCAATGTGGCATTGAGGTTGTTTTGCAGAATTTAAAATCCAAAATTCAAATGTTGATTCAAAATTAATCAAACCCTTCCGTCATGTTTAACTTGACATGAAATTCAATCCAAAACTAGCTTTGACATCCAACCTAACCTCAATGTCCACCTTTATTGAACTTTAAATACATTGTAAATAAATAAAATTCTTCACACGAATCGATCATTCTGTCGATCAAAAATCAAAAGAAATCAGGTAGCTAAAAGGTGTTGCCGTCAAAGTTGCTACTGTACTAACCAGCTGACTTGATATTATATTTACCCAGTGGCTATATTCTTTCATAAAAATGAGATTGAAGTATTTCGACCACAAAAAACCAATAAATTTGTTGTATATAAATATCCATTAATATCAATATTGACTGCTGTTGAGCAAAACAAGTCTTATGGGTTAAGATTGGTTGTTCATAAATGATATCAATCTAATTGTTGGGATTTTCGACTCCCTTATACACTTCTTTAAGTGTAACATAGCACCAAACCCTTCTTTTACTTCAAAAGTAGACATCATTTACAACCAACCCCAATAAGTAACAAAGTTGCAAATCTACAAAAGTCATGAATGTCCTAAAGCTTAATCTCTGATCATAATGAAGTATCTAAGCATCAATCTAAACAAAAATTATGGGAGCATAAATGAATTTTTGTGAGTTTATTGATATTTGTCCTTCAATGTCAAGTTAGAGTTGTCAAAAAAGCAACTTACTATAAAGTATAGTAAGGCAGGCAAAAAAAGGGGGGAATTGCAAAAAGTAATAAACTGGCTCGATTCAATCCATTCATTATAAGTTTGAAGTACCTCTTGCAATACATAAATTATAGGCAGTTATGCATATATACAATACAAATGTCTGTCTATAGTATTTTATATTTTATTTTTATATTATATTTCTAAAGATCATTTTCGAGTGATATAATAACCTATGTAAAAATATCATCTAATAGTTCCTTTGTTATTATTCTATGTGGTTTTGTTAAATTAACTTTTGGTCGTTGATACAATCTCGCATTAATGGCATAAAGCTGTGGTGACAATTCGCAGCGTACATTAAACCACCAATCGCATGTCTATTAGCGTAAGTAGTCCCCGCGAAATAGTTAAAATTAATTGAAATGAAAAAAAGAAAATTGAAAAAAAAAAATAATATTGTTAATAACACGTGATATATAAAAAGTTTGTAACTGTTCTCGCCTATATTCACATGGGTAATGACAACAACAGCTACAAACCTAACAGTCATTCACGGACACAAATCTTTCCTGCATTTCAATTATTTTTTTAAAATGCTTTTTCAATCAGAGTTGTTAATTGGATGAATTTATCTTGGAGGTAATTGGATTCTTGCTGATGGATTTGATGCATACTTTTTCATTTGAGAGGGTAATTAAGTGACTATGAACTTTGCAGCATAGTGCTTTGAATTGAGAGACTTACTCCGACAGAGTTAAATTAGCATCGATTTAAGAAAGATGAAGGAAGTCAAGAGTATAGTGATAACCTTAGCGACCTTAGTATGGTAAGAAACCTAGTAAGCCTAGCTCTAGTAATCACCATTAAATCCAATCCAACAACAACTCTGACTCTACAAATCTATTAATGGCTATTAATATGAATCACAGTTTAAATTATAAATCACATCGACTATTAAACTCACCAGTACAGCCTGAGAAAATTGAGTACCATTTGGACATAAAAATGTTGCTTGTCGACCATCGATATCTAAAAAACAGCAAAATAGGGAGACAATTAAATGATTCAGACATAAAAATAAATTTAAATCTAGATTTCTAAATTGTAAATAATTAATCAGAGTAAATTACCGCAATAATGCCATCCTGTGAATGAAACAAGCACAGAAACAAATGAGTATAAGAGGAAGAAATCATGCATTAATAAAAATGAATTGTGTGAACTTTTTTTTTCAAGCATTTTAATAGAAATCAATTTTTAATTTACCTTGACAGCGTGTCTCAACGTCAGCAAAGAATCCCGGATACGGTTGTTCATCACAATAGAAATTTGTGTACGGTACAGCAGCTAAAAGGGTGGATTTGAAGATTTTTTTATGGTGTTATTTTTAAACAAAGGCATAAATCATGAAAAAATTAAATAAGTTCCTCTAATTCAAAAAAAAGGAGTTCCGCTGAAATTAATTTAATTTATTTTTTTTTTCGCGAAATTCGTCAAGGTTGCGACAGAAGAGCTATAAATAATTATCCTTTTAAAAACTAATTAATAATATGTTCTCAATTAAGTGACTGAACTACTTTAATTACTTTGATGATGCAAACTCACGTGATTGCTGCTCCATTGCAATAATCTTTCTATATCTTATTTATAAGCGGAAAAGGTTCATTTAAGATCGACGATGATTTTGTGATTTTTATTTCTTGATTTTGCAAGGCGGGAATTTATGTAATATGAAGCGTAGCATTGAACCTGATGGAACTGAATTTTTTATTTAGAGAGCACAAAAATTTACATTTGGCACTGAGAATTGGATTTATTTTCATATTTTGGGGGACTTTCATATCATTTCTGATGATTTCTTTGAAGGCTGGAGAATTAAAGTGTTTTTGGCTTGGATATTGATTGAAACTTTTATGGTTGCATTGAATTTTGAAGTTTTTTTTGTTGCTGATCAATCGGAGGTGAATTAATCAAATGCAATTTGGTCTGTCCAAAAGTGTTTTAATTTGATTTTTCTAATATTTTAATTTATTTCGGCTTTTGGTGAGAATTGAACCCGTGTACACACATCGGAGAGGGTTACAGACCTGGCAAGTGTTCAAGCTACTGAACCTTAAAAAACTTTACTGTTGGACTTACAGATTCGCTTACATATAACTCGATGAATGGCAAAATAAGTCAAAAAAAGCGTTAGCATTTCTGTATTCGGAGTTCAAACTAAGCCAGCAAATCTCATCAACAAATGAACAGCTAGCAGATCAAGCTACTTAAGCTATGAATCCCAAAAATAAGTAAATTTGAAAGAAACCAACAAATTCGAAAGAAAATCCGGTCAATTTTGAAATGATCATGCTCAATACCAACAATCCAGCAATTCATTCTTATGTCATTTAAAAATCCGGCTCCAAATGCATAATTTATGATCATTAAACTACCGGCTTTCAAGATTGAACCTTTATAAAAATGTTCTCAAGCTAAAAATGATTAATTTGAGAATTTTTCTGTATGTCAGGTGCTAATTTTAAAAATTACGTGCTAGATTCTTATTTGTATACTTCTTACATTCCATTAGCATGTCCAAAAAAATTCCCAAAAAATTTACAATTGCAAATTAATGACATTAATGCACAGCTTAAATCACATTAGAATAATCTATAAATTGAAGCGAATAAGCCGATAATTGACTGAGAATAGCTATATCCAAATGGAGTACAAAATGTGAATGGAACTGCTCAATAACACTAGAATCACGTCTTAATAGCACACTTGTTCATTCCGTTGCATAAAAAATGAATTATTAGTTCTAATTCGATATTTCCAGCCTTCAATATTCATGAATCATTTACCTAATATAGGGTAATCGCTTCCTGGACGTCCCGGTATTGACTTTCCAAGCTCAAGATACTCCTTAACCGATGGACTTAGGAACTGATGATTTTTTGGAATGAGTGGTTGTGGAATTTCAGCTTCATCAAGTCGCTGATTTGGCTCTTGACCTAAATGAGGATTTCCTGATGCTCGTGGCTTTTTTGCACGTTTTATTCTGACGTTCTTTGATGTCTGTTGCTCTCCGTCACCTGTAAATTGAATATACATTTTTGTAGGTTTTAATGTTATTATTTTTAGATTAATGGTATGACGGCATTTAAAGTAACTGTTGTGTGGGAATCAGCAAAAGGTAAATCCAATTGACTCGATTAATGCAATTCTTGATTTCATAAACAGAATCCTTACTAGACATAAATAGAGAAGAAGAAAATTTCATAACAAATTTATTCTCACACTTCTCGGTGCATGAATTGATTTTAAAGATCTTTTTCTTCTACTTGCTTCACTTTACTGTGACTATACAAATGTTTACTTCACTTCATTCAATTATTGACTTTTTGCTAGCTTTAATTTAAGTTGGATGAGATGGTTGTGAGATCAGTTTGGATGTTATTACCAGTTATTACTTGGATTTTGTGATTAAAGGGGCTTGTCTAGTCTCTAGAATGTAGTCAAATTATGCACCGATTTGACTCCAATGCTTATTAAACTATGGATTCGTACTAAGATCCAGAAAACCGTCTCTCATTAAATTATTACCAGCAATGTACATAAAACTGTCTTTGCCATCATCCAAACATGAATCATCTCAACTAAAGCTGACCACATTAAAAAGAATTAGCAAACAAATGCTGCAAATGCAAATATAAACTGCGCCATCAATCACATTGAACTTTCACAACAGTAATTTTCATAATTTCAATATTCATCTTTAAATTCAATAGATTGTCACAATCAACAGCAACAAACAGCAGCAGCAGTAGTAGTAGCGAATGAGATGAGGATGATGAAAAATTTTATTATTAAAATAATTCATATCTTCATCTTTAATAAAAGTTAATATTTATTTTTTCCATACTCCGTAGCTTCTTTTTCTCATTAAAACTTTGACAAGTCAAAATGATGTTTGCATTGCTCGTTTGTAAAAAAAAAGAATAAATATGAACACATAACATAACAGCAACAGCACATAACATGCATATGTTGAAATTAAATAAAATAAAAATTGAAGACTGAGGAAAAATTAATAATTTTTTTTTTATTTTGATTGCGCGACTTTTCAGCAGCATCAGAAAAATGATAAGGCTGGAAGTTTTATAAACTTTGAATAATGTTTGCATAGTTTTAATTACTAATGGATTTCTACTCAGCCTATATGTGAGGGACGTCTCGTTTTTCATGATAGAAGTAAATTGCAGAGAATAGAGCAGAAACTTTTTAATATTATACGTGCTATAAAGTTTTTTGTTGCTGCTGATGCTTCTTCTTGTTCGTGATTATGAAAAAAATTGATATAAAATAACGTAAGTGAATGGAAATTTGTTTTAATTCCTTGGTGATTTGCATGAAATTAAAGTTTGTTTGATTTATTGAGGTGGTGGAATTGATGTTGATGTGATTGATGTTGGAATTGGAACCTTTCTATGTTACAGTTGGATTGTTTTTAGGTTATGAAGGTTAGCTTTCCTTTACTAAGTGAAATAGGAAATGGGAAGCTTAGTCTAGGTTCAGTTGCTCTGTATACTTTAGAGTAGACTTAGATGCACCTCAAGATAAACCAGTCTGCAATTAAAATGCCAAAACATCCAATCGAATATACTTCTTACAGTATCAAACAGTATCAGATAGCCACAGTCACATATTTTCATACTTTAACAATAAACTTATCATTTCATTATTCCGTAGGTGTAAAGATATTAAAACTGCAATTCAAAATGTCTTGTTAAGCCTCTTTATGACTAAGCGACATCTTCAATGTCACAATTACAGTTCTAGACTGTCTGCATATTTAAATGCATACACGAGTGAACCATAAAAATTTATAGACGTAATGGAAAAGACCCAAAGATATCAATTGTTCAAGGAGACAATGCAATTCGAATTTTAAAATTCTGCAGAACTTCCTTTCTGGACATTATCCATGAGTAGAGTTATGTCTTATTAGTCATAAATTTTATTGAAGTTGAATATTATGCAATTGGTAATTGAATTGGATAGTTTAAGTTATAAATCAAGTTTCGATAAACAAGTTTGCATGGAATTATGAGGATCGGCAAATATTATTTCAACTTTCACCTCTGTAACATTCAGGAAGAGGTTTTGAAATTAGAGACCTACATTTGATTATGAAATATGTGGATGGAGAAGTATGTGGATGTTTTAAATTTTGTTTTTTGCAATTTATTGCTTATCAACAAGATTTGAAGGTTATGTAACAGATTTTTGAAATTTTAATTCAAATTTTAACGAATAGTCATATTAATCTTCATCAAAATTCATAGTTTCACGCCCTTCGATTTAAAAAAGAGCGCAAAATAAAGAAACATTCATTTTATCAGCTTTCCAGCAGTTTACAATAAGTTGTCAACCAAGGCGTGGAAACTATCCCAAATATCATATTTATCCCACATTGGATAATCTTTCTTTATTTCAAATTTGGAATTATTGTAGTTTAAGTTACATTTCTTTGAGTCTTATTTTGACACCAGCCTGAATATGGCTTTAATTCAACTATATCTTGATTAATAAAGATTAAACTAAAAATATTCGAAAAATTTCTGAACATGTATGCACGATAATAAAGATATCCCAACGTATCCTTAGTGTATTGGACGTGTAATTCCAGGATATGATGGGATATCTCAATTCTAATGCATACAGGCTCAGGGATTATTTTGAATATTTTTGGATATATGGGATGAATGGGATATTTGGGATAGTTTCCACGCCTTGTTGTCAACTTAGAAAACTCTTTAAGGTACGTTTACCATAAAAGTAAATCAAATTGGTCTTAATTGTCAATTCAACAACATTTAATGCCCATTAAGTCACACATTTCTTTTCAATTTTAATTTTTATTACACATTCAATTGTAGGAGGTTTGTTGCTATCAAGCTGTTAACAAAATGTCTAGCTGTAAACATTCTCTTGTCTGTTTTGAACTGAATTGAAAAGACACATGTGCACATAATACATAAAATTTCAATAAAATTGATATTTGCTCCATTTTACTTGAATCTCTCGAGACCACCTTCAAATGAGTCACTGACAAAATATTTAATTCACATATTTTCTCAGATTTAAGTTTTTTAAAAAAATGTTAAAATTCATGTCAATGTACTTAACTGTTTAAATATGCCGCCTGCAAAGATTACAATCAAACTATTTTCATAGACTATTAATTCATGCAACCGATGGATGATACAATTCATAAATCGCACAAAACACGAATAATTTTTTTATATAAATTCAATTTTTGTTTTACAAATAATATTTTAATTGTCACATGTGCATGCTTGTTTTGAAATTAGTTTTTTTTTGTTTACTCGTTGCTATTTCGCATTTAATTTTTTATAATTAACAAATCAAATAATGATGTGTATAATGTAGACAGTAGCATAGTTTGTGAGTTTGTTAATTTTCGTAAAAAAAAACCTTGTTTCACTCCATATCTCTCACACTCTTTTTAATTTCCATGCACAATTACTAAATTAATGTAGAAGTCGCAATGAAAAGCATAAGAGATTGTTTAGGTGGGTGATTATATAGGTGATGATTATGAGGAATGTTGCGAATGAGTGAGTCAATGGAGTAATTAGATTCTTAAGCGGGGATTTCATGGAATGAGGATAGGGGCCGTTCACTTATGACGTCCAGGGGGGGGGGGGGGGGGTCAGTAAGAATAGAACAATAGAAATTCCTGGAAATCAATTGTTCTTTTTTGAAAAATGACCGTTATTTTCGGACGTCATATGTGAACGACCCCATAGGAGATGGGGTTAAGTCCGAATCCGATTCCGGGATCGACTCTGTTTGGACCATATTAACTGTTGTTGAACAAAGTAGGATCGATGGACCCCGTTTGATCATGTAAAAATGAGATCTCGGTTGATGAACCCTGTTTGGATAGAGTTGAGTTGGATCATGGTCAATAGACTTTGTTTGATTGGGATGAAGCGAGATCTTAATCTATGGATCCGATTTGGTTGACTCATAGACCTTATTTACATGGAATGGTATAGAATGTTGGTTGATGAACCCCATATCTAGTCATTCATAATCTTTTTACTATATCTAAGGACTTTTTAGTATGTTTGATGAATTCCATAAGCTTATCCTCATCCTTACACTCTTTTAGATTCTAAACATGAATTTAACACTCAACATAGCTTCACAATAAATAGAATCTACAGAATAATCAATAGAATCTCCCAACATCGCCATACTTTAAAGCAGTCTCATAATGCATTCAAGTTTAAATACATTTTTTTAGGGCGATCAAATTTGATTTCATTTAGAGAGACGTGGAAAGACGTCAACACGCAATTCTTTTTTTTGCCAATGTACTTTGCGACGATTTTTCTATCATGCAAAAATTAAAATATATAAAAATGCTGTTGAGAAAAAAAAATGAAAATGATAGAAATCTAATTAAAAGTTTCTTCTTTTTTTTGATTCGTTTTTAATTACCGAAATGATTTTTTTTTTTTCGTATTGTGACGCACCTCGAGACAGAAATAATGAAAATTGAACAAACTTAACAAAAACAGGGGAAACTCCCATTTCAAAAAAAGACTTAAAGAACTGCACAGAATTATGATTTTTTGTTTAAATTAAATATAATTTATTATATTGCTAGGTGCCCGTGCTTCGTGTGAATAATCATGTGATTATTTGTAAGCTACTAAATTGGAATCTTTTTTTTCTGCTGGTTGAAATATTTTTATCATTTTTAAAAGGATGGTGGGTAGGTTGGCCATCATCATCATCAACAGCATCAAAATTTATAGCCGTTCGAAAACAAATTATTTTTACAATCATACGCAATTACATAATTTATTTTTCCTTCCTTTGCTTCTTTCATGCAGATCGATGCAGATATAAAAATAACAATTTTATGAATGGAATTGTGTTTTATTTGGGAACAAGGGCGGGTTGTTTGGTCATTTTGGGTTGGCAAATTTAATGGGGTGGATATGAGGAATGAAATTTGGACATGAAGGTAGTTTATTACTTCTGTACTGTTCGT